CCCCCCCAGCATCCTAGGCCTGGGCTGCTGGAGGGACTTGGGATGCCCGGGACACCGAGTTGCCGTGAGAACGGTCGCGCGGTGCGGTCCGTCTCGCAGCTGGGAAGGGATGTTGTAATCGTGTCAAGGTGGGGAAGGCGAAGGTGTTTCGGCACGGGCAGGGCGCTGCTGCGTTATGCAATCTGTGGTGGAAAGGAATGGGGAGACCCGGGCTTGATTTCCGTCTCCACTGTGTGTTTTCTTGGCTGCGTTGGGCGAGCTGCTCCTGCAGCCGGGACGCCTTAAAAGCCACCGATAAAGCTGTGCAGATGTTCAGCAGTTCGGCTGGCTTAAGTGAGGTTGGGCTTGGAGGGGAATGATGGCTCTTGTTAGACTGTGGCTGTGACTGGGGGGTGTCCCAGTGAGCTGTTTCTCAGCTCTGTAGCAGGAGCAGCCTCAGGCCGTGTCGTTTTCTGCTTATAAAACTGAAACTTGTGTTTGTTAAACACTTAGACCAAAAAAAAAAAAAACAAAACAACAAACCAAGCCATGAGATTCAAGCTGCTCCTGCCCCGCTGGAGATGCAGAGCCTGGCAGGGACACGGAGTCGAGCGTGCCCGTTTGCCCAAAGGCTGGTGGGGCTCTGGGGGGTTTAGTGCTTTAGTAACTTAAAACACATGCCTGGCCCCTGCTGTCAGCGCTTTATCGGGGCAGAGCAGGGCTGTACCTCCTGTAGCTCGTGGTCCCAGCGGTGTTTTGGGGTGCGGGGGCTCCCGGGCTTCACCTCCAGGCGTGGATGTCTCCGTGCTCAAGGTGGGGCAGAGCCTTTCAGACAGCTCCAGCGAAACCCGGTGGGTTCCTCTCTGGGGCCTGGGAGGGTGTTCATGGCTGATTGAGCCTGTTTTGATGATCTCAGCCAGTGGAGTAAAAGTTAATGTTTGTCTTGAATGTGACTTCAAAACTCTTGAAGGAGGATCCATGTCTTTGATCTGGCTGGGCAGAAAGGAGGGCTGCGTTCCCGCAAGGAGCTGCATCATATTGGAAGCCATCAGAACTCCCCGCTGAAACTGGGATGCTGGGGATGGGTGATAGCGGAGCTGAGGCAGCCAACTGTGTCTTTGAAATGTGTGGGGGCTTTGCAGGGGGTCGAATGAAATGGGAGAAATTTTCCTGTCTTCCATTTTCTGCTAGTAGAGGCAGGATTCAGCCCTGGCACTCACTCCTTGCTGCAGAGCTCTGAGTAGGTCAGGGTGTCCCATCTGGGGTGTTGTGGAGCTCACAGCTGTGCTGCATTCCCGCTGTGATGGCTTTAGTGTGTGTGAGTGGTGTGAGCAGGACCTGCCCTGCCCTGGGACACGCTCTAGGATCACCCTTCCTCCTGCCTCAACACAGCTAGAACCTCTTCCCCTTCCCAAAAAGAGCACGGATAGGCTGTGGGAAGGGCGATGCTGTGGTGGGTCAGACGCTGGCCGCTACCCATGGGTTAGAGAAGCCGGTTCGCTGTGGCTTCTCCTCCTCCTGGCGCTGCTGAGGTCCCCAGCCTTGAACAAGCAACGCTTCCCCGTGCGCATCTGAAGCTGCGGTGGGACGGAGCCCGCAGCAAACAAGGCCTTGCTGTTTGGGTGTAACTGTGTTTTGAGCTGAAGCTGGTGGCATTTGTGTCTTTGTGCTCTGTTTTTTCCTGGCCTTACCCAAGAAGAGAAGGCAGAACGTGTTCTCAGGGCGTTTCATGTCTCGGATGCAAAACTGCATCCTGGTTCCTCGCCTGGGCGGGCAGTGGGTGCGCAGGGCAGAGCAGCGGGCGCGTGCCCGGAGCGCATGGGGTGTAGCAGCTGGGTGCTGCCTCTCCTGGGATCAGCTGGTGGGTGGCTTATCCTGAGCCCCACAGCTGTGGAGGCTGAGCTCCAGCTGGCCAGCCTCTGCCTGCCTTGGGTCTACTCTACAACACGAAAAAACGGTGTTTCTGGGGTCCGTGATGGGGTGATGGTCTCCTTGGAGGTGTTTTTCCTTGTTGGGTGTCTCCGCACTAGTGTGGCGCACACAAAGGTGATCAGATGCGCTGTTACAAAGCACGGCAGGGAACTTTCCCCGTCCTTGCCAAGGCTGGCAGCGTGGTGCACGGGCGTCTCTTTGGAGCAGGACGGGTGAACTGAGCATCAGTCCCAGTGGCACCATGAATCTCCTTGGGCAGCTGGTGTTTGGCAAGCGTGGAAGGGGTCAGGCTCTGTGGGGCTGGCGCTGTTATAGCCAAGGTGGAAGCCTGTTTGGGTGGAGCTGCGGAAATCACGAGGCTGGGATGAGTGCTGAGAAGGTCCCGAGGTCCCAGATGCTCAGGGGAGGCTGTGTCGTCTCTAGAAAAGCTGCGGGCTCGAGGCTGTGACCATGGCTCGGAAACGGGTAGGGATGCCAGGCTCTGCCTGTGCAGGGCAGGACCTCGCCGTGTGCCTGCTGCTGCTTTGCCTTGCACCTCGCTGCTCTGTCCCCAGAGCCACTTGCTGCCTGGGCAGTTTGTTCCAGAAAGCTGCTTCTGCTCATCCCTGCTAATGGGGAGGGAGCGAGGGGCTGCTGTGTGCCCACTCCCCATCCCTGCCTGGCTCAGCCCCCGGCACTGGCAGGCTGGGGGGGACGCTTGCTCCATTGCATCAAGGAGCTCGCTGGTGGGCTGACCCCCAGCACCATTCCCCATCGGCTTGGGAGGGGGCAGCTTGCCCATCCTGCCCTGCCAGCGCCGTGCAGCCCTGCAGTGGGTTGGGGTCCTTCTGCAGTCCCTCTGCGTTTTGTTGTGGTCTGTGGGACCCTGCTCCCTGCCAGTGACTAACTGTGCTGCCCTAAAGCCTGGAGCACCTGAACTGCGAGACCCAGCATGTTGGGCTTGATGATCTTAAAGGCCTTTTCCATCCTAAATGGTTCTAGGATTGTGTTTCTCCTGCGTGCTCCCCATCTGCATCTCCTGCCTCCGCATGTTGGCTGCCAGCTCCCCCGTCCCCTCTGGCAGAGCTGCCCTCGCGCAGGCACTGCCCAGCCGGGATCGGGAGGGGCAGCGCCGTCTGATGTCGCATGTAAATAGATCTGAAAGGGAGCAGATGGATTTTCTGGGTCTTGATGGATTAACACCCTTCAGGCCAGTTACGGGTGGGAGCCCCAGGCACGCTGCTGCGGTGCGTGGGGATGGAGGCTGCAGCCTGCAGCAGATCAGTTGGTTCAGGACAAGCAGCCTTGTCTGCAGTCTATAAATTTCTTGTTGGTTGGAGTGTTTGGTTTTTTTTTAATACACTTGCAGATACCGGCTGTGTTGACCTTGACTGGAGCTTGCAGGGGAGTAAATAAATGCTGGCTAATTGCGCATTAGGCTCGTTTGTCACAACCTTGGCGCTTGCAGTGTGTCTGGCCGGTGTGACCTAGATCAGAGCGGGAGCCCAGTGCTGCTCTGGGGGTTTCCCAGCATGCTTGAGGGGGTCATGGGTTCATGGTCTTCAGGGCCACCCCACGCTGGCTGCTGAGCCATCCCTGCCTCCTCCTCCTCGGGCTGAAGGTCTGTGCAGGGGGGAGGTGGTCCAGCAGAGCCAGCCCTCTGCGGCTGCTGGCTGGGAGGCTGGAGGTGCTTTTCCCTTTACCCTGCTCCTGTGCATGTCCTGGATTTCCATCTCAGCCCATCCTGGTGTGATTTACCCCCCTGCCTGGCTGTGACTCCTCCCGGCTCTCCCCACCACGACCTCCTTTCAGAGCCTCTGCCAGTCACCGATTCCCACGAAGGAGCAGGGCGGCGGCAGGACAATGGTCCCCATTCAGCGCTGCCTGGAGCTGGATCCCGGCAGGGATGGGCCCATCTCCTGCTCCCAGCACTGGCTTCCCTTATCTCTGCTGGCCCCTGGCACGGATGGGGGGTGAACGCGCAGGTCGGGTTGTTTCTTTCCTAAACCCACCCAAGGTGGGGGGCAGCTGGGACACCGGTGGGGTGGGGAGCACCCAGCAGAGGCAGCCTGGCCACCAGATGCATGCCTGGGTGCTTGGTGCCTCCTTGTGCACCCCTGCCCTGGGTGTGGGGGAAGAAAGACACACACCCCCCCCACACCCCTCCCAGATCAAGATGAGGGTGTGCAGGACTGTTTGCTTGGTGGGATAGATGACGTTGCCCTTCTAAGGGACAAAGCCAGGCAGCAGGGTTTCTCATGGGTGGGGGGGCAATGACGCAGCCTCTGTGAAAGCTCCTGTCTGAGCAGAGCGGGTGGTCTGTGCGGCTGCCCCGGGCAGAGCTGGCATGGGGTGGAAGGGGCCATCCCCATCATCCCCTGGGGCTGCAGGCAAGAGGCACTCCATCCTAGGGGTCCCCCAAAGCTGCGCTCTGCCCCTCTCCATCACCGATGGCTGGAAGTGACAGCAAACTTGCACCCTGCAGCGAGACTGAAGCTGCAGGAGAGTGGTGTTGATGATGCTTGGATCGAGCTCCTGCCATGGCTGGGAGGTCCCTGGGTTTGTGCTCAGTTGTTCTTCTCCTCTCCAGGTCGTGCAGCGCATCAAAGCTGTGGAGACGGAGACGCGCTTGCTCGTGGTGGACAAGGAGACGGACGAGTACCTGTGCAGCCTGCGCCTGACGTGCACGGAGGACATGGTGCACAGCGGGATCCTGCTCAACTCCAGCATCTCGCCCACCAAGTCGGTGGGCCGCGACAACGGGGAGGTCTGGAAGCCGCAGCTGGATCTGAGCGGGGGCAGCCTCCAGCGACACTCGCACAGCTTCTCCTCGCACGGCAGCAGGAAGGTGAGGGCAGAGCTGGGCAGCACACGGGACCGCTGGGTGCAGAGCTGGGGGGTGGGTGCAGCCACCCTGGGAGCACCTCCCTCTGCATGCACGGCTTGCTTCCCATCAGAGAAAAGCCTTCTCTACGTGGCTGTTGGCTTTGGGGACTCCACTGTGCCCCAAAGCAGCAGGTCAGCTGCTCCTTGGGTTTGTTTTGTGTTTGATTCGAGCGGCATCAGCTGCTGGAGGCTGTGCTGCTCCCCTCCTGCACCCCTGGGAGCTGCTGGGGGGGGTCATCAGCCCTGGGGGTGAGTGAGCCCACTGTCCCAGCCCGGGTCTCGCCTGCTCGTGGGGACAGACTGCACGGGCCAGGGACACAGCAAAGCTGGAGCTCATGAATGAGCTTCTCTCTGCCCCATTATTTACAGGAGGGAGGGAACATCTGGGGCGAGTGTGTTCTCAGCTTTTTGCTCAAATAGGAAGGAAATTAGCTCTTTTTCAAGTGGCCTGGGTCTGGACTGTGATTCGGCAGTAAGTGCCTTTTATTGGTAAACTCCTTTCCAAAAAGGAAAGAATTTGGGGTGGAAAACATCCAATTTCCATGGCTGCCTTGCTGTTGGGGCTGTGCTGGCGGAGACGGCACAGCCTTGCACTTGGCAGATAGCGGGGTTCTGTCCCAGCGCTGCCCTTGCCTGGGGTGTGAACGTGGCAGGAGCGATGCGGGAGTCATGTGGCCAAGCTGGTGGCTGTCACTGCTCTGCAGCCATCTGTCCCCTTCCCTGTCCCCACCCTGTGGCCCCCTGTGCATGCTGGTGTGTGCTGCTGGGCAGGGAGTGCTGGTGCTCAACCGCCCCCTCCACTGCGGAGCTGCTGTGGGTGCAATCCTCCTCCTCCTCTTCCTCCTCCCTGGGGAGGTGGCAGGGGCTGCGGTGGGCACGGCTGGAGATGTCAGGAAAGCTTAGTGTCCTCAGGAGCCCTGTCCAGAATAACAGCTGGAGTTCCCCTGTGCAGAGAAGAGGTGATGCTGGTATGAGGCACATGCACCTCCAGCAATGGGGGGCGCGTCTCTCCTTCTGGCCTCCCCTCCAGAGCTGTTTGGCATCTTGCAGGGGAGGAACCCCCTTCCCTGGGGCTGTCGGGGGGAGGGGTGGGGCTTTTTTTTTTTGTT